ATCCAAAATCCTTGCGGGGTAAATTTCAACTTGGGGATTTCGTGTTACATCGTAGTAAGAGCCGCTTCCCTGTGGCCACGACACGATTACACTTTTCTTCTTCCACACAGGCAACGGTGTCAGTTGTGGTAGCGGGAGAGAGCTCCATATAGTAAATTTCAATTTTGCTTGAGACCCCACCGGGTGAACACACACAACAAGTGTGTATCGTTCCCCAGGATGCACTTTCGCTTCCAAATATACAATTTCATCCGTGATGAATGGGCTTGACGCCACAACAGACTCGTCGCGCAACACGCCAACAGATCTTGAGGGTCTGCCCTCCACCAAAGTTGTCTTCACAAGGAACATGCCCAGGGCAGTTTCATCGCTATCAGGCGCCTGCGCCTTTACAATAAGTGACCCTGTTTTATTCTCCATATTTCCAACGGTGGCATGGGAACCAAAACAAAGTGCAACCTGCGCATTATCATCGCCTGTTCGGTATTCGCCACTGCACTCTACCGTGTCACTGTAGGTAAGCGTATTCCAATGGTAAGAAGGATCTTCCTTCCATATAATAAATCCAGATTGGCTAAATATACGAAAGAGAAACTTACCCATGACACCGCCCGTATGGGAACTTGGTATCACCCAATAATCTTCTCCTGCCTCCATAATGCCTTCAAAAGATATAGAGTCCGTAAAGACATAGTCCGTTGCCACAACAATCTCTTCCCTATCAGACGCATATCGAACAGGATATTGTTCATGCCGAATAATGTGAAGTGCAAGGGAATCAATATCTGTGGGTGTGAAGCGTGTGTCAGGAACGGCAAGGTTAATAAAAAACGGAGACTCCTGACTAATCTTCAGACGGTAATGGGGGTTAAGATGCCAATTTTGTTCATGGCATGACCCGCCCGCACTGTTTCTTCCCCATTCGTCTTCAATAGTACGTTGATGAAACCCCTGAAACAAATGACATAAATGGACCTGAGCAAATGCAGCAATAAAGTCCGTGTATGACATCCAAAAGGAGGAGTTCTTTGCAACGGAGCGTTGATTTCGGAGAGCAGCATCCACCTCTCGATAACGTTGCCACTGCACGGATTCATCTGACCAGTCTCCCTTCCATTGCATCTTTGTCCAAAAACTGGAAAGCTCAATAAGGCGTGCCCCACTCAGTTGCTGTAATTGCAGAATGCGATAGGCATGAGATGGTTCAATACCGGGCAGCGTCCCATTTGCTGACCTGCTCACCGCCACCATCATCGCCCCCGCGCTGTGGACATCTGACATCGTCAGCCACCACTCATCGAGTTGAAACTGCTCATGGTGCAAGAAGCGTACAATACCCACACCACCGCTCAAATCACTTAATGTTTTGGCGCAATTCGTTTGCCTTTCATTATTGCCCTGATAGTTGCTGCTCGTAAAGAAACTCGTCCCATCAAACGAGTACACGCTGTGCCCACGAGTGGTTATTGAAAATCGGTTGATTCTTTCCGTCCTGGAAGATAATCGCGAACGGGGATAATCAGGAGCGGAGAGGCTGAGGGCGGGATACCCACCATTTAACTTTGCAAGGGCCTTCTCGAGAATGCATGGCCAGAAGTACTTGTCATTCACTGGGTGAGTGAAGATAAGTTCATCCTTATTATTTACAGGAAGAAGATCATCCACAATAATGTATCGCCATGCCCCATCAATATGAACCCGCAGGCCATACACCCCATGGCCCAAAGAATTCGAGCCTAACACGGTACTTCGGAGACTTTCCAAATCATTAAAGACAGCATCCACACACACAAAAATCCATGAAAAAGATGGTGGGGATTGGCTCGGCAGCACCAGACGAGATTCCTCATCCTTATCTGGAAACAGCCTCGCCGAGGGATAAATGTCTCCTATGCGGCGCCAACCCGCAATACGATACAGCGCGGTGGCACGATGTTGAACAGCGACATCATCCGCTGCAAACTGGTGATCATAAAACCACGCATACTGCTGTTCACAAAGCTGATCTATAACCGAAACAGGATTATCATCATAGAGAAATTCATGTACACTGTGCGAAAAGGACAACAATGCGGCTTCTATATCATGGGCTTTCAATCGCTTACGTTCAAAACTATCTTCATACATGGGCGCTAAAAATGCCAAGTCTGGTGGGAGTTCATTTAAACCTCCATTGGCTGCCGCCGCCGCTGCTGCTGCACGAAAGATTTTAGCAGGTGTGATGCGTTCTCTGCCAGATTTTTCCTCATTTGTAGAGCTGTTTACATCTCTACTGCCTGGTGAAGCCAACAATCCCAGTTCCCTTTCCGCAACCATCTCCTTTACCCTTCTATTCCTCTCCAGTTGACATTTGATTGCCTGAACAATGGAATTCCCTATGCCTGTTCGTTCAAGCGTCATAAATTCAATCACAGGGTTTTCCCTGACAAGTTGGAGAAGCGATACTCCCGCATTCATTGTTAGTGGGTTGTCCGAAAGGTTTATCCGCAAAATGGACGGGTGCTGCCGCAGAGCGAGACAGAGGGCATCGATGGCAACATTATCTAGCTGTTGTGCCCGAAGGTCAAAGACACGAATGTTCCTGCAGCAGCGGACAATCTCCAAGAGCGGAAGAATGCCCTTTGGACCTAAAAAGTTCTTTGAAAGGTCAATGAACACCAAACTTTGGTATTCGTCCGGAACATCTGACAAAAGCTGGCAGATGGCAGAGTTCTTGCGGCAGTGCAGTTCCACACACTTCTTCTCATAAATCTCCCGCAAGGAAAGGCCGGCAAAGTACGTGGTCATTCTAATGACGGAAGGCGATATCTAACTCCCGTGTGAGCAACGCCTCCCCCTTCCAGTGGGCCAACGCGAAAAAGCGGGCGGTCCGTGACTGCAGCACCAACAGAAAAAAAAAAAAAAAAAAAAAAGAGGTGCACAGAAGGAAAAGAGAGCGGTCATCCAAACAAACAAACAAAAAAACTAAAATATATAAAAAAAATGAAAAATGAAAAAAAAAAATAATAATAATAACGTGATGTTTGTCCTGTTTTTATTTTTGCACTCTTTTTGTTTTTAATTATTTTTGCATACATCCTTTTCTGTTTGTTCTCGTTGCGTCCCTCGCCGCAAAAAAAAAAAGATTATTTGAGTGAAATCCCGTCGAACTCACTCCCCCTGGCAATGCCGGCCACCTCAGCGTAGTGCGCCAGTGTAAAGCCGCCTCGTATTCTCTGAAAGAAGCCCAAAAAGCCAGCCATGTTCCCTTCACCGGATTTTTGTTGCATGCACAAAAATTGACACTATTCACCAGCGTTCGGGGACAGACGCGTATTAACGGGGCCACAGTTGCGCCACCAATAAAGCCTGAAGGGCACATGTTAGCGTGCAGCTAGCGGGCAATCAGATTTAATCGTTTAAAAAAAAAAACACAGGAGGGAACAACAACAACAAAAAGAAAAAGAAAAGAAAAAAAAAAGAACCACCGGCAGGCAATCCAAAGCGCCGTGTCCCTTTCAAGCAGCCCTAATTTTCCTCTCGCACGGACGGATGCGATGAATTCAATTCGGTGGCATGGAAATCAGTCTCCTTCACATCAGACACGGTCGCTTCCTCCGCCGGCATAGCTTCCATGGACACTTCTTCTCCCGCGACAGTCGATCTTTTCCAGTGAAGCAGCATCTCCCTGCACAAAATAACGAAGACACCGTAGCAGAGAAAGCTGACAACGTAAGCGCAAAGTACACTAGGAGCCAGGCACAGTCTTTTTCCAACCGGAACACTCGGGATGATGTATCTATGCATAATGATGAGAAGCAATGTTGGGTTAATGAGACGAAACACAATCCACAGAAAGAAAAGGCTGTAAAGTGCAACAGAGTACATTTTCGTGTTGGACATGCCATTTTCCTCCAAGGTGGCCTTTGTATACAACGATATATTTGTCGTTTCCACAAGCATAAAACACACAAGAATAAAAAGGCCATATGGACAATATCCGATAAACATGTAAATAAGATACGGAATACTTGAAACAACATGATGAAAAACAAAACACAGCCAGTTTGGTTGTCGATAAAGCACCAATACCGCTGTGTCGTACAAAAAGTACCCAATACTGATGCACAGTAATCCCTGCATGAAAGAAACATTACCAATCGGCTCATAATTGTCTCCCCACTTCATTGAGGCCACGCCACCGAGTAAGGCGGGAACAACAAGAACACTATGAAAGACGGAGACCACACGGGAGGTCAAATCGCATTGAATTTCTATCGTCATCGTCAAAAACTGACGGTAATGATGCCTTAGCACCGAACTCATACTTACAAAAAATAAAGAGAAAAAAAGGAACGCGGTGCTAACGCATAAAAGGCGTTGAATCACCGAAAGCCCTCCTACACCATTCTGGCATATGTAATCTCCGTTATGTACATTACCTGCGTTACATAGGGCCGTCATTTCAAACAAGAAAAAACCAGCCAACCCTATAATAGTAATAATAATAATTTTAATAATAATAAACGGAGGGCCTGCGCTCGTGCGTCTGTATGTGTGAGTTCTAAAACCCTAACCCTGCAATACAATAAGAGGAAATAAATAAATAAATAACTATGGATTGATAGGTAGATGTAGATATGGAAGAAAAAGCTCCAATCAACGGAAACACGTAATCACATGCCAATGCATCTAAAATTCACACAAAATTAAGAAGCGACAACAAAAAAACAAAAAAAAAATAAATGACATATCTTTTTGTTTTATTTTGTTTTGTCCCTTTTCTCCTTGTCTTTTCTTTCTTGACCGCTCTTCCCCCTGCCGACAGCAGAACAACGCCACGTGCGGCAATTCCGTGCCTGCATGCGTAGAAGAAGTTCAGTCTCTCATCTTTCCCCAATTCCCCTGCAGACCATCAAAATTCAACCGTCCAACCAGCAATAACCCTTCTTTTTTTTTTCCACACACACACGCACCCCTCCTTCTTTGCTCATGCCTTGTCATGCGTTCCTCCTCCCCTGCTACGCGACTTTGGTCGTCTTTTCCCCTTTCGCCTTGTGCTGTAGCGCCACGGCCTCCTGCAGCCGGTAGGCGATGCGTGCGAACCATGAGGAGAGGGAAACCGTCGCCAGGAAAAAAATGCAGGAGACAACCCACAGCCTCGCAAAGTCACTCCTGCCGTAAAACTCCAACGGGACGGCTGTCGTCATCCACAGCGGAATCGTCGCGGCCCACAACACGATGGCGGCCACCGCTTTGAGTAATCCCGGCCTCTTCCCGTCGCCCTCAGCGCCGCGAGGGTGAAAAAATAGAAACGCCATAAAAGGGATAAACCACACAAAGTATTGCACGGTGCATACCTTATTAAAGGCCACAAAAAGCATCGTTTGTATACAACACGCATGGGCCACGTTGCGGCGCAGTTTGTACGACACAAAGAAAAGCACAAAGGCTTGAGGAACAAACGCAAACAGGCCTGGAGCGTATTCAGACTCCAAGCCAAGGTGGCTTCTTGCCATGTTAAGATACATAAGTAACCAATATGGGGAAAAGTTGTGACGGTTATCTTCTCGGTACAAATGGTACAAAAACGCTTCATCGAGGTATTGCTGACCAAACCACTTGTAGCACATCATAGTTGGAATGGTAAAAAAAATTACAACAAGAAGGCCACAGAGCGTGACCGTGGGAACGACACGCCCTAATTTCTGGAAAAAAGTTTCTGCTTTCGTTTCCTCCCATACACCAAGCACCAGGGGAAGGGAGTAGATTACTGGGTATAATTTAAAGTGAATGGCAAATCCTAAGACGGAGGCGGCCTGAAAGTATTTGGACTGTGCAAACTTTGCCAAAACAACAAGACTCATAAATGTAACTAGAATATCGCTATTTCCACGTGTTGAAACCACCACCATAATCGGATTAAATAGGATAAACAGCGACACCATCCATTTGGCACTCCGCTCCGTTGCAAACTTCAAAAGGACAATGTAAGAGTAGTAGGCAGCACCCAGATCGCATAGGGCAAACAGCACCTTCCCAAACGGGTTTGCTACTAGCACGCTAGGCAAAATGAGAACTGCAAGAAGTGGTGTGTAGCGAAATGTGGTTCGATCAAAGGGCGAACCTCCCATCCACATCTCCCGTGCCCCATCCAAAATAATCATGTAGTCGATGTCTGTGTACTTGACACGAAACCAGCGGTCGTGAAAATGTGCGTAAATAATGAGGATCAGGCGCACAATGCCGCCCAACTGTAAGAGCCTTCGGATAGTGACACCATCGATCCACGACCGATCTGAATGGCACGGCATTACAACCCCCGAACAACAACGTCCCCCCAATAGTAAATTTCTACTCCTTTTTTTTCCCTTTCTTTTTTTTCGCGGTCCAGCAGCAAAAATAAAATAAAATAAAATAAACAAAAAAAAAGCGCACATGTCGTAAAAATGATGAATGTCACAGGTAAAAAAAAAAAAAAAATTTTAAACAGGCTAGAAAAAATATATATGCGGCGCATGTGTGTTTTTTTTTGTGCCACCCAACGCAAGCCGTCCAAGGCGGGGTGATGGACATGTTGCTTCCCCTGCCCTTATGCATTTCTACACCCCGAGCGCCTTTTGTCTCTTCTTCTTTTATTGTCGTTGTTGCTGGGCGCAACCACCACCACCAACACCACCTACTTTCTGGGTGTGAAAAGTGGCTGAGAGGCAGAATGATGCGATGAGAGGAACAAAAAAAAAGACAAAAAAAAGGGAGTTGCCTACAAGAGAAGCCACACTTCATTTGACTTCATTTGAAGCAAGCAATTAGATGCGGCAGTGAACGGGAGCAACGGATGATAATGATAAGAAGAGGGGAGAAAGGGACGTCACATGCCCCCTTCACTTGTTTTTTTTTCTCAGTCCCGCGCGGACTGGCTGAGGCGCTGAATGATGAGCTTCTGCTCCTGCTCCACCTTACAGAGGGAGTCGTACTCAGCAATATAGCGGTCCAACTCCGTCTGCTTCTCGCGAAGACGTACTTTCGCCTCCTGCACTGTGCGAAACCGTTCCTCTGCCTCGCTCTCTACAATGTTGCGGGACCCAATGGCCCTAAGTTTTTCCTGCTCGATGGCCTCCCCCAGCCGCTCCACGATGGACATAGTTTGGTTCACCACATTCCTGAAGTCATCCATGCGGCCGGTGAAGCGCTTCTCCACCTCAATCGTCTTCATCAGCTGGTCAAACTTCTCGGGGTCATACATGCGAATGGCGCCATGGGCGTCAAACATGACAAGTTTGTCATCCTCCATTTTTCTTGTGTGGGGCGCTATCGCTTCTGTCAACTTCTAATCTCTTTCCCAGGAGACCGGAGAAAAGGCACAGGGGGTATTGTGTGCAAGCACACAATCCGCACTTGTGGCGAGAAATTTACCATCCCTTCTTCCTCCATTTTGTTGTTTTGTTTCGAGTGAATTTGTCGCTCAAATAACTCTCACTTGAAGTAATTCTCCCCTCAAACCACCACAAGAAGAACAACCCCAAAAAAAAAAATGCTTCGGCTCACTGTTTTCTTCTCTATATCTGCTTCCTTCACACCCTCGGAAGGGAGGGGGCTCCGCGTTATGCATCGAGCGCCGCCTTCACGCCAAAAGAAGCAGAGCACACATGAAAAAAAAAAAAAAAAAAAAAAAAAAAAAAAAAAAAAAGATAAATAAATAAATAAACAAGAAAAAACAAATAATCATGCAGTCTCAGTTCTATTTTCACTCTACATACTCCACACAGCATTCGACAAGGTCCTCAAGCACTCGTGGATGAAGAAGAAGCTGTTGATTTATGGAATGAAGCGCAAGGAAGCGCTGCTCTCGCCGCTGAAGAAATGATGCGTGATCTGCTAACACCTGCGATAACGATCCCATGCTGCTGACCAAGCCGTAGAAATGTAATGCTTGAGAAAGCCATTTCATGACAACAGAAGTGACCAGACCAGCACCCCCATTTCCACCTTCTGTCTCCGCCTCCGTGGCGGTATTGTAGAAGCGCAGAGACTCCAAAACGGGTGCAAGATCACATGAGCATTCTGCACCATCCCTGAGACTCTGCAAAAGTGATACAGCTGCGCTGTAGAGAGACTTCCGCATCATGATGATCTGAGCAAGAGGATGACAAGATGACATCGCCCCGCAATGCTGCAAAAGACCTCCGTAACGTTTCGCCAACGTGCGCCGGGCGTTCATAACAAAATCCGGTGAAAAGTCGTTTTCGGTGGAGCCAATCTCTGACAAGAAACTTTCCTGCGCCGCAAACAACAGGTTAACATTGTCAAGAATGACTGTGGCTTCTATGGGACGTGGGCGCTGCTGTGGCTCCCCGTGAAAAAGACGTTTTATCCAGTGCACCACAAGTTCCTCGCTAGGACTACGCAAAAATGTTTCGGAATCCGTGTGGACCACATTTTTCTCCAATACACGAACAACGAGACCCCTATCATCAATGACGTTGGAGCCTGTGTTGTAGATGGTAAGGTTGTAGTGCTGCGCACTGCGAATCTCAATCTGTGTGACTGTACTCTTGTCAGGCAACAGGCAGGGGGTCACCATACGGACCGCCTGATCCTCCTTCCCCTTCGGCAGCGGAGTCCATAACTCCTTCACAACACTAGTGGGTTCTGTTTGACCAAGTCGCCCACGATGCACAATGACACGAATGGGCACAGACACAGATCGGTTCGTGAGGACATCTATTGTCTCAATGACGCGAGGCACAACTGCTAGGCAATAAAGTTGACGGAGTGCTTGTAAATGCATCTTGTTATCCGAAGTTGTATCGGGCCAGACCGGATAAAAGGCCATGACCAGCGCCGCAACGGAGCTGAGTGAGTTTGAGAGTGTAAGTTGGCCTCCCCCAAGGAACAACAAACCAATAGACATGGAGAGTGCAAGATGATCGCCATATTTCACATTCGTACGCTTGTAAAGTTTCTGCATGACAGAGAGGCACTGAGCGTCACCCGTCCCAGCCATGATAAGGGCCAACGCCACTGTACATGCCGAAAGACACGGTTGAAAAGCGCCCGTAGAACGCTGAATGGTAATAATCGCCGCTCCTGTAGTTCCAATTCTCCCTCGCATAAAACCTTTCAATTCACCGAGAACCAACGCCTTTGCGTCAGCGTCCATGGAACCTGCGTAGCGCATACCCAAAGCCAAAATAACACCAGCAAGACAGTGTCCTAGATTCATCATGAGGTAGGAGACTTGAGCGGGTGCCAACCCACTCTGCCGAGGAGATTTTACAAGTCGCATTAAACATGAAGGAATACTTTGCCGAACCCATTCACACGTGGGTTCAATGCTTGACCACAAGATAAGAGAAGACATCATAGAGCGTAGTAGGCAAAGTTCCGGATATATTCCCTGCAGTCCCACCAAACGGTTTGGGGGAGACACTTTTTTTGCCATGGAAGCATCGTCTGTCTGCATGTAAATAAAGCCCAGTGCCACAACCGCCGCGGGGCTCGAGACGGCAGTGTTAAAGCAATCACCTTCATATACGCGAGTGCAATGGCTCCTAAAGGAATCTTTTGTGTTCCGCAGCAGTAACGCTCGGGTAAGAAAGTGACCACTATCGGGATTGCGTTCATTAAAGACCTCCAATCCCTCACAGGTGGATGGAACAGTTTCACGGCGTGCCCCTTCCATAAATTTTAATAGGCGATTCTCAACATTTGGCACACCATGCGAACTCCCAATGCCAAGAAAAATGAGGCCGAGACTAAACCCCGCTCCCAATGCATATCCCTCTCTGTCGCGAAAATGTTCATCCGATGGAAGGCGTGAAATTTGTACAAGAAGCATCTCTGCCAAAAAAGCGTCTGGGCATCTCTGGTGTAGAATTCCAATGGAAACCAACGCGGCAGTTTGAGCGTCTAGGGAAACCTCAATGTCTTCTGTGGCAGGGGTGAGGGACTGCACGTGCATTGAGAGACAATTAAAAACAATGCTATTACACGTTCCACGTAGACTACAACTAAGACCCAGCATCACAGCGATGGTAACTGTCTCACGACCAGAAAACTCCGATTGAGGTGAGACAAGCAGTGAATATATATCAGTCCGCTGAAGCAGTTTTAAGTGTCCCAGAAGTCCTGCCGCAAGGAGTAATCCAGATCGGGATGCAAGACATGTGATATTACGTGTTTGGTACAGTACCCAGTGCCGTGTGATGGATTGTTCCTCCTTCACATGACCATGACCCTGAGGCAATGGAAGGAAGCGCAGCCCCGCTGCACACCCGTTGTGAAACAATGGCCATATTAAATTCTCTGAAGAAAATTCATCTGAGCTGTTTGTGATTGTAATCCCATCGCTCGTTCGACCCTCTAGATTTAGACGTGGGATTGGCACACTATCACGCAGCCTAAAATTCTGCGTGCAAAGTGTGAAAATGCCACGTCCCACAGGAAGAGCGGTGGCACGTCTGGAAAGAGTTTTTAAAGAGGCGTAAATGGCATCCGCGCCGTCTAATTGACTTGGCAAGGCAATGGGGGCGGCCGTGTTTAACATGGTCTGCACAATGTCCATTCGAGGATCGCCCCAGTGCTTCGGGAAGTCCGGTCGCATAATGACGCCATCATCATCATTCAGAGTGGCACAGTATTGCCTTCCAATGGACCGCTCCTGTGCAGCCCGCACAACATCACCGGATGAATCCGCATAGCGTAAAAGCGTGGGCGCATGCTGTTGCAAGCGATCCAAACGCCCAATGATGGCATTGAAGTCATTGTCCCAAGTATCATCTACCTGATCCTTTGCAATAGCCAAAGCTCGCTCAATCGGCTGCGCCACGCCGACGCAAAGCTCCAAAGAGACAAACTTGGGATCAATACCATATTTTAAAAGACCTCGGCACAAAAGAAACCACCAGCGAGAGGCATGATTGTGCTGTGCTTGAGGTGTATCAAAGCAATCCACCAGCATAAAAAAAAGACGGTTGGCCATAGAAAGGGGCGAGGTGGAGAGAACCCCTTTAATGGCTGGCCATCCACCAGACATTCGCGCCTTCCCTGCAAGTGCACGCTGAAATATGGTGTACAAAATAGGCGGAGCCCCGCTGAGGACGGCGTCTGAGGAAGAACCGGCATAAAAGACGAATCTCTCAAGAAGGATGTGTTCAGGCAACGTCCGCTGAAATTCGTGTGCTGGTGATGGTTGCGAGACCACCGAACTGCGATTTGCAAAGCCACTTGTCTCAGGCACACAGAGACAGGTTGAGTAGTACCAAACATATTGGGTCCACCGCATCAATTTACTCAACTCAAGGTTCATATGCGCCAGTGGCTCGAGTAAAACCCAATGTCTTTCCTGCAGCTTAAGGCTCTCACACAAAAGATGCAAAACAAATACACTGAGTCCACATTGATGCTGTGTCCAGAGCTGAATGACATTCGGACCATATTGGAAGGCCTCACGGCCATTTTTTTCCGGGGCGCATGGACTGCACAACGAATGACGTTGCAACAAATCAGCATTCAGGGCAATAGGATCAAGAAGAACATCACACAACCGTACCTCCTCCCTCTCCTCATGCCCGAGAGCATTTTTTAAAAAGTATCGTCCATCGTTCTCATTGCAACCACCAGCACCAGTATTGTTATTATTATTCTCAAGTATGTTGCTTCTTCTGCTTCTTCCAATCATACTTGTACGGACAACTTCTATGATTAATTCAATACAGCCAATGCCAAAATCCCACACATTCCCCAAATGTTTGCTTTCCCATGCACGCCGTAGCAACTCACACTGTAGCGATGCGACACAATTTGCCTCTAAAACCAATTCAAGCGCCTCCAAAATAAAATGTACAAGCGGGTGTTGCTCCTCCAAGAGCGAGGGAAAACTAACAACGCATGTCTTTTGTTTCAATTCATGTGCGTGCTTTTCTCCCCTTTCACTTTCGTTGCCGGAGGAACGCGGGGTAGCATGAAAAGCAACCGCAGAGCCCGTCTGATACAACACACCATTCACTATAAAATCCTTTGGCAGTGTAGTCGCGAGGGAAATTGTGGCTACGCTATTGGAGGAAGAAGGGTGCTCCAGGATTGTAGGAACATGATAAAGAGTCACCTCATTCATGGATGGGTAATGGCACACCATAATGGGTTGCATCATACAAGGTCGCAGAGAAGGAAGCACAACTGGAGGACAGTTTGTCGATATAGTGAAGAGCAACTCCAACGCACCCTTTCCAGTCAGGAGGTTCGGTGTTCTCAAAACATGTAACAAAGTATGAGGTGCGTCAAAAAGAAACAGTGCCTGAACAGGGGCATCTGGACTCTCAGAAATGGTCACAGAGACATCCGTCGCCTTGACATGTAATTGTGGCACATGTAAACGCTGCGGCCACCATACCCAAAGCAAGGAATCCAAATGTTCCACTAAAACCGTCGTTGCAAGACATATTTCACTGCCTCGCACTGCCACCGTCATTAACCGTCCCTTGTATGTTTGAAACTGGGTGAGAATAATCGCGTCCACCAACGCGTACCCTGGCGTGGCACTGCCACTATCCACCTGCGACGAAACTGACATCATTGTTACGATAGGATTGCTGGGAAGACGTGTTATCAATTCCGAACCTCCAGCACTCACGTAAACCGGTCGAAATGTCAGCTGAGAAGCCATCCACCATAAATCTGCTGCCTGATGGAACAGAAACCCCTCCACCTGCAGTGCCCTCGATGAGGATCCCCGTGAAGACTGCTGGCTGCCGTGGACAAACACGCCACGTAAACCCGGCACGACGGTCGTGGGAGCAATGTTTTTTAGCACAAAGTGTGTGACAGCAGCGGGGTGCACAGTGTTATAGGCGGAGCAGATTGTCGATGATTGATGTGCGGTGTAGTGGCTATGCCGATTCTTTGGCTCATCACGATGAAATACGCACAGATACTCCTCTTGCACTGCTTCGCTGCCGCAATGAGCTGCGGCTCCAGTGCGTTCCCCACCGGTACTGTCCAAATTAAGTTCCAACTCACTGTTGGCACATGTACTCTCTGGTAAAACAAATGCGGGGTCCAAACTTCGCTTCTGCCTGGAAGGGGCGGGAAATCGTGTTAGAAACGCCCACTTCACGTTGCGATGGGATACGGAAAAGTGAACCTCACCGTTGTGCAGCACCGAGACATCCCGCACACCACCCGCCTGCTTCTCGCCCACTCGTATCGTGAATGCACTCTGCATGCCGTGAGTTCACAAATCTCTCTCTCCCCTTTTTCCCCCTCGCCCTCTCTGTATGTGTGCGTGCAATAAGAGCAAAAGAAAAAAAAAAGCAATAAAAAAATTCCAACCCTCTCCCTCTCCCTCTCCCTCTCCCTCCTTCTTTCTTTTTTTTTTTTTTTTTGAAGCCATTCAGTGAGTGGAAACAAGAAGAAGAAAAAAAAGGCACATTTATGCCCCATGCACTCCGACACGCACACACACGCAAAAATACACCACAAGAACAGGGCAAAGACAAGACAAATTCATTCTTTTTTTTTTTTCTCTTGATTTTGTTATGTCTTTTCCTTCCAAACTCGTCACTGCAATAAAGCAGATGGCACGGCAATCCACGACAACGCACCAATGAAACACACATGATACTTCATTTAAAATAATAATAATAATAATAATAATAAACCCATAAAAAAGGCCTAACACCAATCAACCCACATCCCCTCAGGAGAAAAAGAAATTAAAAATCATCAAGCAAAAAATATATATATATATAATATACACGTACATCACGGTAGTCTGCGTGATCAACGGTAAAGCAGTATCTGATCCGCATTGTACATGCAGGATGGGCTCACGGCTCTTGCGTTTAATGGGAACCAGGCCGCATCTGTGAAGAGAGCCACACCGTGCAAGGAAATAGCGGTATGATCAATCCAAAAAAACTCGGTTTGTCGCCCATTTGTTGTGGAAGGTGGAAGAATCAACTCACGTACGTAACTCTTCACTTCTCTTCCTGGACAGTTGATGAATGCTGAGGCGTTATGTTGCGACGATGCCTTGACTGGGCACGCATCAGACAACATGTGATTGACGCATGCAAAGAGTTTTTCCATCCATGTGAAGCAAAAATTTGAGTCGGATATTGCGCGCCACTGACCTCCAGTGAATATCCAATGTACTCCATGGCAGACACAACGCACCGGCAAAGGTCGTCGCATAAAGAAAAAAAACAAATCGGTTTGCTCTACAAATGCGGCATTCACGATAAAAGCAACGGGTTTCATTCCCTCTGTACACGGGCAAGAAAAAGGAATTTCAAGCGCAGAGCGAAACTGCAAACCCTCATCTTGTCGTTCCTTCTCTGTAATCCAAAGAGAAGATTTGAATTTCATCTGGCGGCCAAAGTGAAGCAACTGTGCCTCGAGACTCTGGGAGTAGCGCTCGCCTCTAACGAGCGAGCGAGGAGCGGATTCGTTGGAAGGTGAATTGTGCGAAAAAAAAACGCCACGGCGGGACGACTCTACAACTGTCAAAAAAGACGAGCGTTGCCTGAGGAGCCCTGGGCGCATCCGGATGGGTGACAGCTCCCTGTTGACCAATGACATGATTACCTGGCATGCACGAGAGGACAGGGGAATGAGAAAGTCCGCAGAGAGAGAGAGAGAGAGATCCGGGGCGTCACACGACAGGACGTGGGCAGCAGGCGCGGCTGACACTAACGGAGTGGGTGACAACAAAGACAACACATCATAAAGAAAGAAAAAAAAAAGAAAAAAAGGGAGAAGGCAATCCAACTGTCATTCCCTGCAATTTCTTTTCTACGCCTAATTCCCCAACCAACCAACGTCCATGCGGTTCAGCTTCTTGTCATCATTGAAAGCAATATTCGAAAAGACTTCACTGATCCTCTAATCAAATAGAAGGAGCAAAAAAAAAAACAAAAAAAAACAAAACTAACAGAGTGACTTCTTCTGGAACCACACATACGCACACACAAATTATAAGTTTTGAATCATTCCTTTTTCATCTACCTTTTCGATTCACTCTCTTTATTCAAGGGAGCAATGGTTTTTCTAGGATATCCAGCACCTCTTGCACCCCAGTCGTTGCCTCCTGGAGACTCACCTCACATATTTCCAACAATTCGTGAAGCTGCTCTTGATTACTTGTTCCATCGCTTTCACCTTCGGAAGCCGAATCGTTCACATGGGCCGCAAACGTCGGGACTGAAGCAAAAGTAAAGCCTCGAACAGCTGGAGTACGTGTGCCACATGCCGCCACGGCCACAGCGACGGCCCCTTGGGAGGGAGTCTTGTAATAAGAGTAGTTGTTATCGGTCATGGATGTCGAGGCCAGTGGAAGGGAAAACTCCGACATGCCCAAGGTGGGACTCTTTGGCCACTTCTGCAACAAAAAACTTGACCCGACCGAGCTTGGAAGCGGTGCTGGTGCAAAGTGCGGTGTTGGAAAGGACCGTCCACTGCCCACAGAATCTGAGCAATGCGCCAGTACACTTCCTACGCGTTGTTCAGCGGGGCATTCCCCTTTCACATTGGTCGCCGTATTACTCACCAATATCAGATCTCCCTCTTGCTTGAGGGAGGCACGCCATAATCGGTTGTAAGTGACACTGACGCTCACCAGCCCGTCTACTGCCCAAACCTTTTTTACACAACTATCGGTTTCCAAGCGCGGAAGTTCATCCATATCCACAACCAGTCGTAGGACTATATCGCCCGCATCCACATACGTAATATCCACAAATAATTCGTGAATGCGCAAATACGCAAAAATAACACGTATCAATATTTTTAGAGAATTTCCCTGTTGCTCCGTTATCGCAAGTCCCTGGGAGGCAGCTATGGCAGAAGGCATCTTGGAGTTGGGAGACACCAAACCCGGCACCCTAAAGTCTTGAAACCGCCAAATCTCCGCTATAGCACCCTTGACATACACAACCAACGCTACTTGTGACGCCAGCCCTTTTTTAGCCTGATGGGCTTGCAGAGTTTCCTCGTCTGCAAGACATGGGCCCCGGTCAAGCATATGCAAATCTCCAAAGGTGAACGTCTCACAACCCTTTAGCGGAGACCTGCCATTTCGCACAAGACGAAGAAGTTTCACAATAAGCGTATCGTCCATACAACTTAACTAATGTGCCCTTCTTTTTTCTTCTCCACACACACACACCTACGCTTTTTTCTTTAAGTTTCTCTTTGCAACCCTCAACTTCTTACTTATTTCAACTGCCTCACGTGATATGTGCAGTTGAGCGTTCTGCAGTTCCATCACATAACGTTAAGGCAAAAAAAAAAAAGAAAAAACGCAAAGCAACAAGGCCAGTGGAATGTGCACATCGAGGAGAAGAAAACACGGACACATATCAGAAAAAAAAAAAAAAAAGAAAAAAGAAAAAATAAATTCTCCATGTTTTCTATTCATTCTGGGAAGGGGCACGTGTTATGTGTGCGTGCTACCTTTAAAAAAAAAAAAACGCTCAGTTATTTTTATCCGCATTAATCTGAAGTTCAAACCCACCTTCTCAGACCCCCCACGCATGCACATTCTTCCCCTTTTTGCTCCTTGAACGGGACAAGAGTGACAGGGTTCTGTGAATGTCACGTTTCCTTCCCTTTTCGAGAAGTTTTGTCAAAAAACTGAAGGAAAACACAATTTTTTAATTGTGGAGAAGACGTAGCGTCATCGCATACACAAACACACACATTTGTCGGCAACGGGGTCCATTTCGCCCCACAAGAAAAACACCCACTACGCATTCCCCTCTGATTGCCTGCGTGCCGTCTGCTTCTTTGCCATCTCCGCATTGGTTGGCACCATGGGGTATTCGGGGTCTTCTTCCCCCCTCGCCAGGAGGTCACCTCCCACCACCACAGACGAGATGAATGCATCGGCGCACAGCACCGGAATAAGCTCGCGATCACTGGACGGGACCACGCGAGGAAGGTTGTGGAGCGGGTGATTCCTCAGATGCTCCTCCAGCGATGATGCGGCAACGTCACAACGGCACGCCTCCGCCTCCGCTAATTCGTCGCCGTAAGTGAAAGGGCAGAGGCCCCGCGCAACACACTTCCGAATGACGTTGACAATTCGAATGACATCATACACGTCCTGCACGCCCTCGTGAGATCGCACCGCGGCACGAAAGTCAAACCCGTGGGCATCAATCATGTGGCCCAGACAGTCTTCCGACGCTGTGTCGCATAAGAGGCATACAGCAGGCTCGACACCCCAGTCTTCATCATCACCATCATCGTCACTTTCAACCACGTTGGGTTCATTGGCACTATCTTC